ATGTCATATGTCATTTGTGGCATTAAAGACATAGGGGTCTGTTAATAGGCAATTCAATGAGCGATACAGTAGATGCTGCATTATGTGTACATTTGCTCACTTTTTGCTCGCATGCACATAACTGATTAATACTGTATTACAGTTAAATATGACTATTTGTATTAATAGTCAACTTGTACTGTATATTCATCACTGATTACAGTTAGTGAGTTTAGTATTGCGCTATTTTTAACACTAATAAACACACATTAAATATAATTGAATTATTTTTAATAATAAACAAAATTAATAATATACACAAAAATAACAGCAAACGTTTGGAAAAGTATTCATAAATACTTAGCAATTAAATGTGAAAAGCAATCAAATTATAAACGATACAAACTGTGGGAAATGACTGAATCTAACAAATGATTTCATTATATTAACGGTATTATAAATAGTGAAAAATTTAACAAATAGCTAAAGAAAACATAATTAATATTTGTGTCATTAATTAGTACACATGTGTATGATTGGCACAAATAGTTGAGACCGTGGGACAGGCAGTCAGTGCATACGGGCGCCCTCGTTGGCCAATAGGTGGGCCATATCATTGCCATGGATTCCTCGATGTCCGGGTACTTTATTCTGATCAATAAATACATGATATTAGCAATTAATTAGTGGAGAGAGAGAGAGAGAGAGAGAGAGAGAACCCATAAGACATCCATTGCTTGCATCTCTCGCTCGAGTGCCTGAATGTGCACTTTGTTGAGCAGATCCCTGCCATTCATATTCTTGTAGCCATTTTGGTGCCAATTGTGTAACCACTCGGTCATCGACTTAATCACTCATTGCTGTCCGTGTGGACGACAACCTTAAACTGCCCCAAGTGTTTGGCCACTTGTAGACCACGGATGGCCGCCTCGATCTCCGCCCTATTGGTGGTCTGGAGTCCGACGAGTGGTTCGCAGACATTGAGCTGTTGGCTGAGGGGGAAGAAGATCCCAATGCCTGCCCGCGCGCCCGGCTCTCCGTTGTCCAGACACGCGCCCGACGTATACATAGGAAACCTGTCGGCAAATGCATCGCTCGGTTGTGGACGACCACCACTTCCTCCGTATCCGCTTCTGTCCACCCAATAAGCCATGTCTTAGACAGCAATCGGTGGTGACTATGATATCAGTGATAGCTA